AAGACTTACATATTCCGTCTCGAAGTGCAAAATGCTAAAATAAAATCTAATTAACGCTTTTCGCGTAAATAAATACCAGGGATTTCTTCGCCCTAAATAACAAACTAAATTAAATAAAATTAATAATTAAAATTGCACCTTATTAATGCACACTTGCACTTAAGGTGCCGCGAAATCAAAATAAAACTTATATATAACGCAAGATAGCTAGGAATTTGTTTCCTAGCTTAAGGAAATTAAATTAAATAAATTGATCAAGTGTACTCATATAAGTACACTAAGTGCACGCTAAATCTAACTGACCAAGAGTAGTCTAAACTTCGCGCGACGCGCGCGAAACTTCGTGGGTAGGCATTTGGAGGCTTCCCCACTCGGAACAGACGATTTTCGCCAAATGCACCTTTTCCGTGCACCTGTTGCACTTTCTGCACTTTTCGTCTAATTTTGCTCCGAACTTCGCGAAACGCGAGATCTCGACGAGATACGTGTTGTAGAAGCCCGTCGGACCAAAATTAAATTTTCGATAGAAAATTTTTTAATCGCGAAGAAAATTTCGCGAAAAGTTAATATCTCGACGAGATACACCCTTTAGATGCCCCCCGAGACAAAATAAAATTTTCGATAAAAAATTTTTAATTCGCGAAGAGAATTTCGCGAAAAGTGTATATCTCGGCAAGATACACCCTATATATGCCTCCCGAGACAAAATAAAATTTTCGATAAAAAATTTTTATTCGCGAAGAGAATTTCGCGAAAACTGTATATCTTGGCAAGATACATCCTATAGATGCCTCCCGAGACAAAATAAAATTTTTGATAAAAAATTTTAATTCGCGAAGAGAATTTCACGAAAAGCGTATATCTCGGCAAGATACACCCCATAGATACCTCCCGAGACAAAATAAAATTTTCGATAAAAAATTTTAATTCGCGAAGAGAATTTCGCGAAAAGTGTATATCTCGGCAAGATACACCCTATAGATGCCTCCCAAGACAAAATAAATAATTCGATAAAAAATAATACTTAATTCAGTACACTTCTCCAGGTGCCTCTCGCACACCTCGTGCACTTTCTGAATGATTGTTAAAATCACATTTCGCCTTTATAATTAGCCGTTGCTCACGCATCTAAAACTAATCTTGGCGCAACATAAAAATAAAATAGTCGTCCGGTAATTGCACTTGACGAGTGCACTATCTACACCTTGTGCAATTAGCGCATAAAATAAAATAAGGAATTAAATAAATTACTCGGAGCATATCGGCGACGCATCCCGAGCTAACAAAAAGAAAATCATAATGGAATATTATTCCATCGCGAGTCATTCGCACTCGGCAGATGCACTTACTGCACTTTGCGCTTAACATGACTCTATATCGACACGAATGTCTGAATTTGTCTCCCGCGTGTTCACGGCGCTAACGGAAGAACTAAAATAAAAAATAATAAATCATATATAAACGAATCACTCTAAATGACTTCGCTTATTCGCGGTACTTAAACTTACGCTCATTTTAATGACTAAATTATAATAAACTAACCTAGTCGTATTTGTATACACTAGTCTTAATTCTACGTGTATATACAGTCTTTTTTTTTTAGTCTATCGCACATCCATTCGATGACCTTAATCCCTCCATGAGGGACCTGGCTGAGGCGAAAGGATCTTCCTGGCAGCACGCCGAAGACGGTACACCGGCGTTTTCTTGCCATCTGTGCTGACATGGTGTGTCACGGCCTCCGTGACCATCCTCACCGGCGATCCTCTCGGTGTCGGCGATGGCACATCCTTGACGGCGATGGTCGGCGAACCTGTTGATCGCAAGGTTAGGTTAGGTTAGGTTAGGTTAGGTTAGGTTAGGTTAGATTGGAGTACAGGGCCCCTCCGTGGACGAGCCACCTTGACGTGGTGGAGGGGCTTAAACCGCCCCCGGCCTCCGGGCCCATCGGGCCCCCCGCTTCGACACTTAGGTGTCGGGGGGGGCCCGGTGGGTCCTTCGGGACCCCACTTCGACACTTTCGTGTCGGGGGGGACCGGGGGTGGTGACGAAGAGCTCGTCATTGCACTTCCCTCCCCGGAAGGGGAGGAAGGGGAGTTCCGCTCCCTCCGGGCGCCTTGGCCTGATGCGGATAGGGGATGGCAAACCCTGACTAGAAATGCCCGGTTTGAGGACACCGATAAGGGTGGGATAACATCCCAATCCTCACTTTATTCCCCAACTCTTGTTTCTATCCCGAGATATCCTTTCTCTGCTTCTCACCCATCCCTACCTTCATCCCTTTTCCTCCCCATGGCCCTTTGGTTCCAACTCCTGGTGTGTGAATGTGTATGTGTGTGTGGCGCGTCTGGCGCATGTCCCTCCTTCCTCTTATCCCTGATCTCCTCTAGTCCCCCTTTAATACTTCGAGGTGGTTCCCCTCTACCAACAACTACTTCTGAAGAACCATGGAGCACGAAGAAAAAGGGAAAACGATTACGGCCGCAGTGGGCGTCGGAACCCACAGCGGACGGCACTGGGGGAGTGTGGACCCTGCTCCCCTTGGGTCGACATCCGACGAAGGGTCGACCACCGATTTGACGACGAGATCGGTGGAGAATGTGGTTACCGCCGCTCTTGAGAAGAATGCGGAGAAGATTGATGGAAGATCCTCACCAGCTGATATGATTCTCCGTGCTGGCGATGAGGAAGAAGTTCCATTACAGCAAAGGAAGTTAAGAAGCAGAAAGCCCACCGTGGAATTGGATGTGTCAACATCTTGGACTAAGATCGTCGAGGATGAAGCAATGGAAGTAGAAATTAGGCCAACTAATCGAGGCCTAAGTCGAGCGTTGAGCCAGGAGAGTTTAGTCTCTATAAGCTCGGCAAAGTCAAGCAGAATCGATGCTCAAGGAGAAATGGATTCTAGTGGAAATGAAGCCCGGTCGCTGGTATCAGTAACCTCTATGGCTTCAGGATCCTCAAATAGAACCATGGCTAAGGCTACTAAGAGGAAACGTGCTGCTTCCAACATCACTCAAGCGGAGAAACGTTCTAAAGAGAACGATGCAATTGCAATACTAGACAGTGATGAGGAAGAACAGCTTACCACACTGTCTGGGAAAGCAACTTCGCAATTAACTCCTTTAGGATCTGGAGATACGCTTAAAGCAAAAACTTTCGAGGAACTAGCCCAAACAGCCTTTACTTGGCTACACGACATAGACATTTCCCGGAAGAAATGTTCAAATATGAAAGGCTCGGTGCATAAAGTGTTTAAAGACAGAGTATCATGGCTGGAGGAACTGATACAATGTCTGGTTGACAAAGGAGGATCAACTGGTGATCCTATTTTATATAAGATGAAGTTAAGAGAAACTAGTGGGAGACTTAAAGCGAAAGAGCAAGAAGAAAACAAATGGAAGGAAGAGAGGAGAAATTTGGAAAGAGAAGTGGAAACTTTGTACAAAAGAATAGATGAATTGGAACTCATGGTTCATCAATTTAGTAGAGGAAAAGACTTTAATCTAGAAGAGTATAAGAAGGATAGTAAGTATTACCTGACCACATATCGAGCGTTTAGGCCTGCGATAAAGGGAGAAAGAAGGTTACTTATTGGTGAAGCTACCCTCACTAATAACTTACCTGGAAAAGACGCACCTATCTGCCTGCGGAGTAGTAGTAGAGGTCTTGGTGAGCCTGTCGATGATGGAAGTATGGGTATTCCTGGTCCTGGTCCTGGTATTGATCCGGGTCCTGGTCCTGGTTCTCCTGGTCCTGTCCATGGTCCTGGTCCTGGTCCGGTGGCCGCACCTAAAAAAGAAAGAGAAAAGAAACTAATATCAGGAAATGAAAAGGAAATTGAAAATATTAAAAAACAAATAAAACAACTTAGTTTGAGGAAAAAAGAATTACATAAAGAAAGAAAAGAAACTGTTCCGAAAGTTAAGGTTATCAGTAATATACAGCTTGTCCCGCCCAGGCAAACGGATTTAGCTAGGAAAGAAGATATGGAAAAGTCAGCGAATAAAGTGAAAGAGAAAGACAAACATGCAATAATGGATACAAAGTCAGAAGAATGGACTACAGTTAATAGAAAAGAGAAAAAGAAACAGAAAAGAGGAAAGGACACGAGCCAAAGTCGGAAGAAAGACACGGTACACCCTGACAAAGGAGGAACCAGAATCACTGGGGGTAAACCGCGCCCTAGGAAGCTGCCTAAAACAGCAGCAGTTGCAATAAGAGGAAGAAATGAAAATGCCTCGTACGCTGACATCCTCAGGAAGGCTCGTTCTGAAATATCTTTAAGTGAGATTGGAGTAGAAAACACTAGAATTAAAAAGGGAATTGACGGTGCGGTAATAATAGAGATCCCTGGTCCAGAAGGACAAAATAGTGCGGACCGGCTAGCATCGAAATTAAAAGAAGTCTTAAAAGATGACGATGTAAACGTTACACGTCCCTCTATTAAAGCGGAAATACGTGTATTTGGATTCGACGACTCGGTAACTACAGATGAAATCCGCAATACCATCGCGGAAAAGACAAATCGTACTCTGGAAGAGATTAGAATAAGCGCAATACGATGGATGTATAATGGACTTGGATCTGTATGGATTCAATGCCCTGCGGCTGCGACAATCAAATTACTCAAGAAGGAAATCTGAAGCTAGGATGGACTATAGCTCGGACGGAACTCCTCCGAAAAAGGCCTCTTCAATGTTATAAATGTTGGGCGTACGGACACGTTAAATTCTCGTGCACGTCCAAAATCGATAGACATAGAATGTGCTACTAATGTGGCATGGAAGGTCACTCGATCAAGAATTGTTGCGCGGAAGTTCCCAGCTGTGCAATATGTAGAGATCAAAAGCTGCCTCATAGACACCAAGTGGGTGCTAAAGGTTGCAGCATGGAGCAATCGACAACAAGTGGCAAACCGCTGCCACGCATCAAGTTGACAGAGAGAAGAAAAGCGATAGGAATGCCGGGTCGGAGGCCGGAAAATATGAAAATAGAGGATGCGATTTAATATCACTCAATGCAACCTAAACCATGCATGGGGTGCTCATAACTTGTTGCACCAACATATGCTGGAAAAAGACATATTATTTGCCTTAATATCGGAACCGGTTTGTATTCCTGTTGTTGATTGGCAAGGCTCAAGGAACGGAAAGGCTGCAATATGCTGGAAATCTAAAGATCTGGAGTATCAATGTAAATTGGATAAGCAGGGTACTGAGTATGTCATAATACAATATAACGATGTCTATTTGGTATCCTGTTATATTTCTCCTAATAGCACGTTGGTAGAATATAACCAATTCCTTGACGAATTGGAACGGATATTAGACGGTTGAGGTGCTGTAAGGTACTAATAGGTGGAGACTTCAACTCTAAATCCGAATACTGGGGCTCCAGTACTACGGATGCTAAAGGAGAATTGGTTGAAGAGTGGGCTGTCACGCATGGATTGGTGTTAGTTAACACAGGTACTACACCTACCTGTGTCAGACCGCAAGGAGAGTCTGTAATCGATCTCACTTGGGCTACTCCCAGTATGGTTAATCTGATAGCAAGATGGACTGTAGATGTTGAGTCCCTGACGCTGTCGGACCATAGATATATACAGATACAAATAGGAAAAAGTAGCTTACTATATACAAAGAAAAAAGAGGCTCAATCCACCATGCGTAATAAATATCCACGTTGGAGCTGGCGTAAAATGGACACTGATATGTTTGTCGAAGTCCTTGAGCTGAGCAACACAACTTGGAAGTTCCAAGAAGAGGACGATCCTAACGATGATGCAAATAAGATTGTATCTATGATATCTGATGCTGCGGACATGGCCACTAATCGGATTAAACATCCTGAAAGGGGGAAACAGGCATATTGATGGAGCCCTGCTCTACAAGAGCTACGTAAGGATTGTATACGAGCTAGACGAATATGGACGAAGGCTAAAGGCAAGGCTAAGAAAAAAAGAAATAGAGAGACGGAAAAAGAGTTAATAGATACAGAGAAAGACTATAAGACTAAAAGAGATATATTTACAAATGCTATTTACAAAGCCAAAGAGGAGGCATGGAATTCACTAATTGCCGAGATCGACAAGGACCAATGGAGTCTTCCATATAAACTTGTAATGGGGAAGCTGAGGAATTCCGCTTTGGGTTTGACAGCGACCCTGGACGCAGTCACATTGGACAGAGTAATAAGCGATCTGTTCCCTAGAGATGAAATCCGCACTAGTGTACCCGTCACGCTGGAATGGAAGGACGAGTGGAATGTCACCCCACTGGAGATTTATCGAGTAGTTAACAAGAATAAAAGCAATAACAATGTTGCGCCTGGTCCTGATGGAATTGCACACGTGGCATGGAAAAGGATTCCTGACTCCTTTAGAAGTACGGTTGCAGAGTTGATGACGAAATACCTGAAGAGTGGCATATTCCCGGATCAGTGGAAAGTCGCCAAACTTGTACTAATACCAAAAGGACAAGATAATGAGGATGGTATCCCTAAGGTTAGACCTATTTGCCTATTGGATGAAATAAGCAAAATTTTGGAAAAAGTTATTATGCTAAGAATACAAGAGTGGCTAAGGCACAATGAAGGAAAACTGTCCGCGAATCAATTTGGGTTCCGACCAAACCATTCAACCATTGATGCACTTAAAAAAGTGACTGGAGCTATAGAGGAAGAGATCGCGAATGGCGGCGTCGTTGTAGGCATTAACCTTGATATTAAAAATGCTTTCAACAGTCTTCCATGGTCTAAAATTAAATATACACTACTTAAGAAGAATTTTCCTAGATATATAAGGAGAATAATAACTAGTTATCTAAGCAATAGGTATATTGAATACATGATTGAAGATGGTACCATACACAAAGAGCAAGTATGCATGGGAGTCCCGCAAGGATCTGTTGTAGGGCCTTTTTTATGGAATATAACCTGATGGTATACTGCGGGTAGACAAGTTACCGGACACGGAGGTTGTTTGCTACGCGGATGATACCATTATCACTGCGAGGGCAGATAACTTTGAATCTGCTAAAACGAAAGCAGTGATAATGGTGGAAAGAGTCCTGGAAAGGATTACATCATTAGTACTAGAAGTAGCACTACCAAAAACGCATGCTGTTGCGTTTTATCGTAGGAAAAAGAAGGCTCCTCCACCGAATTCTGTCATAAGAATTAACGGAGTAGATATTAAGATCATGTCCGAAATGAAATATTTGGGAATCATGTTAGATTCCAAACTTACATATGAGGAACATATAAGATATGCTACAAAAAAGGCGAGTAAGGTATGCAAAGCATTATGTCGACTAATGCCAAATTTGAGAGGTCCGTGCGAAGCGAAAAGGAAACTGTACGGGAACGTAGTGCAATCCATCGTGCTATATGGTTCCCCAATATGGGGAGAGAGACTGTCAAAGGTCAAAAGCCTCCAAAGACCATTGAGGCAGGTGCAGAGACTGGTCGCGGTACGGATCATCGCGGGGTATCGTACCGTCGCATACGACATAGCGATACTACTTGCCCGCACTCCACCGTGGACACTATTATCCGAAAAGTATATGGAAACCTACTGGCGCATCAAACAGCACATCTTAGATGGTACGCTGGATAGAGAAACGGAGAAACGAATTAGGAAAGAAGAAGATGACTCCCTGATGATGAAATGGAAAAATTCTATTCGACAAAGTCCTACTATCGCTGGTAGTAACAATCCAGCTAGAAGAGCCATATGTGAACATTTGGAAAAGTGGCTGAATAGAAATCATGGAGCAATTAACTATAGGATGACACAAATGTTGAGTGGACATGGCTGTTTTCGAGCATTCCTCCACAAAATCGGTAAAGAGGACAACAGTAATTGCTTACAATGTGTGGGATCTTCTTCTTGGAATGCAAAGGAGGATACAGCTAACCACACCATGGTAGAGTGCCTAGCTTGGCATGCTGAGAGAGAGCAGCTCCTAGCTACGATGAAATGCCAACTTACCTGGAGGAATATTATCTCTGAAATATGTCAAAACAAAGATAAATGGAAAAGTGTAAATAGTTACGTGCAAACTGTAATAAAACAAAAGGAAGAGCTCGAAAGAATTAGGGAAAGACAGAGACATACTAATGATCGAGGAATAGATTAAAGAAAGAGCAACGTATAAACATAATAGTACACATACATACATACACACATACACACACACACACACACACACACACACACACACACACACACACACATACATGCACTTACCTACTTACCTACATACTTACCTACATACTTACCTAACTAGAGATGGACTTTATTTATGTACATTTATGTATATATATCTACTTACTTACTTAAGACAAATGTATATATATACTTATCTATATACTTACCTAGAGATGGACTACATTTAGGACATAGGATAATTATTTGGCTGAGGAGGACAGAACCGGCCAAAGAGGAGAAGCACATGGTGCTGGGTGTAGAGAAATGGAGAAGTAATGCAGTGACAGTTCCCCCATTTCTCTGAGGATAACCGCAAGGAGGTCTGCATTGCGGGTCGAGGGGTGGTTTTAGCTGGTAGTCGGGAGAGGAATTATCTCTCACGGAGTCCAGCAGTACCCATGGGGCCGGACCCCCATGGGTCTGCGTCAATGCATTTCCACCTCCCTCCCCGTATGATAAAAAAAAAAAAAAAAGGTTGAAGTACAGGGAAACCTGGCCCCCCGAGGTCGGCATCGTCACGGCATAGGGTCCGCCTTCCCCTCGCTAAATAAAAAAAGCGGAGGCGGGGACACGGGTTAGGAGTCGACGTTGCACGTCGGCGACAGGGGGCCTGCCCACCCTTGGATAAAAAATCGTAGGCAGAACGGGTGCTCGCGATGGAGACACCCTGCACAAATCGCTTCCATGTGGAAGCGAAGCCTGGCTCTACAATGGGAGCCCCGGGTAGGTAGATTAAGGCCCATCATGTCGTGGACGCGGCATGGTGGGAAAGAGGGTTATGCTTCACCCTCCGGAAATTCGGAGGCACATTTAATTCGAGTCACGGGGCCGTCGAATGGCGCAGTCATGTCGGGCGACGGGCTGCTACCTCGTAGAGCCTTGAGGCCGACATACCGCAGCGGGGGTCCCCCTTCCCCTCGCGAAATAAAAAAAGCGGAGGCGGGGACACGGGTTAGGAGTCGGCGTTGCACGTCGGCGACAGGGGGCCTGCCCACCCTTGAATAAAAAATCGTAGGCAGATCGGGTGCAGCGGTGCCTCGCGATGGAGGCACCCTGCAATCGCTTCCACGTGGAAGCGAGTGTGTGTGTGTGTGTGTGTGTGTGTGTGTGTGTGTGTGTGTGAATGCGTGTGTGTGGGCGAGTTCCGTGTCTCTCTCCATATTATTGGGGAGGGGTACGGATCTCCGCTGTTTTGCTTCACCGGGCAGTATAGTCTTCGGGTTTTCTGATGCTGGATGGAGGAACCAGAGTCGATGGGGATACCATGGTCACGCCTTTAAAGGCGGGTGAACGCCCGCTGAGTTGGGGTGGGGGCTTTCGAGTGCGGCCCTCAAGCCATGGTATTCTAGTCGAATGACGGTGAACCCATTCATCATCTCGGGCGGCCTATATGCAAAGGATGAGGGACACTGGTCCTCCATGCCTTACGACCGGGGTCTTTCTCCGCTTTCCCCTCTAAGAAAGCGAATTCCCCCTGGGCGGCTTACGGCCACGGGGATCCCGGGTAAGTAGTTTATTCAGCCAGATGGCAAAGTTTTGGATAGGGGTGATGCCTTCCCCTCATAATTCCGTAGGCAATCAGCATGGCGGGCAGGGACGATACGGGTGACGGGGATAGGAGTACAGGGAAACCTGGCCCCCCCGAGGTCGGCATCGTCACGGCGTAGGGTCCGCCTTCCCCTCGCAAAATAAAAGAAGCGGAGGCGGGGACACGGGTTAGGAGTCGGTGTTGCACGTCGGCGGCAGGGGGCCTGCCCACCCTTGAATTAAAAATCGTAGGCAGATCGGGTGCAGCGGTGCCTCGCGATGGAGGCACCCTGCACGAATCGCTTCCACGTGGAAGCGAGTGTGTGTGTGTGTGTGTGTGTGTGTGTGAATGCGTGTGTGTGGGCGGGTTCCCCGTGTCTCTCTCCATATTATTGGGGAGGGGTACGGATCTCCGCTGTTTTGCGCCGCCGGGCAGTAGAGTCTTCGGGTTTTCTGATGCTGGATGGAGGTACCGGGGTCGATAGGGATAGCTCTGTGAAGTTAGCACCCCCCATTGCGAATTTTTATAAAATTCTGATAGCATTCGTTTGTCCACGATTTGTCCACATTTGTCCAACAAAAAATTTCGTTTGTCCACGCACGGAAACAGTTATAAACAATTAAAACGAAATAATTAACAATAACGGCTCGGTTGACTTCTAACAGCATTTTCTTACAACTGCATTTGTCTCATCACTTCCGGATTCCATTCAATGAAATCCAGGTATTACAAAGCAAAACTATGTTTTAAGGAAGTAAATGTTATTAAAAAAAATATATATAATTGATCATAAACGCGCTGGGGACTTCTAACTGTGTTCCCTGCCAATTTACATTCCTCATACCCCCGCGCGCGCACGTGTGTGTGTAAACGATTTATTTTATAATAAATATACATTTTGCATTTATATATTATGATTTTGGTAACAGTGTTCTATTTTTTATCTGTAATACACATGTCATAATAACACAGCATAAAATTTTATAAACAATTTAGTTATGAACAATTAAAATGGAAAAAAATTTTTCTACCATTTCAGTAAAATAAAAATGTGCCGGCCTCGCTCTCACTTAACTTCCGCGATTGCCCAAGCTTCACGCGGAAGCCGCTACGCGGCGTACGGCGAGTCCCGTTA